GGGGCTCGCATCAGGCTCTTTCTCTTGGTTGGCAACTTGAGGGATTTCCTCAGTGTTCAAGACACTCAGTAAACATATCCCAGAAGCAAAAGGAAATAAGTTGAGAGTTGGTTTATTCACCCAGCACAGGCTCTGGCAGTTTTTAAATGTCTGTTGAGCGGAAGAACATATATTGGATCTATGTATGCCTCGACCTACCCTGAAAGCTGAGTAAACCAACGGGGTGCTCTAGGTCCCCAGTCCTCCCTTGTGATACCCTTGTGACCAGCAGCATCCGCATCACCTGGGACCGTGTTAGAAATGCACACTTTTTACCTGCCCTAGACCTACTGAATGAGAAACTCAGCAATCTGTGCTTTTAAAAGGTGATTTTGATGCAAGCTCAAGTCGGAGAACCACGAAGGGGAAGGCCTCTGGGTAAGGGGGGACTGCCGCCCCTGCCCTAAGGCCTCCAGGAGAGCGCTGCAGGGGCCCTCACGCTACAAGCTCCTCCCCCATCCTCCCCAACCTGGCCCTGTCCCTCCCCCCTCAACCTCAGTTTCTCCCTGGAACCCTCCAGCCTCCTGGTTCCCAGACTCACATTTCCTCACTGACCCGACTTCAGATCTCCCTTCACCATCGGATCCTGTTCCCGACGTCCCCCCAGCCCCTCCCCGAAGAGTTGTCCATGCCAAGCCCCCCACATCTCAGAACTCTGAAAGACCCCCGTCCCCAGCCCTCTAGGACCTGTCTTCAGCCCTGTCCACCACCCCCCACCCGTCTCCCTCCTGGCCTGACCAAGGAGACCCAAGCCCCCAGCCGGCAGGACCCCGCCCCTGCCCCGCCCGGCACAGCGGCTCAGGCCTCCTCCCCATCCGGCCCCACGAGCACCAGCGGCTGAGCGTTCTTGCCCTTATCGTGCCAGCACACGTCGAAGAAGGGGTACACCGGCCCGGGCAGTCGCTCGTGGAAGGCAAAGAGCAACACGAGCGCGTCGGCGTCGCTGGCGTCGTAGAAAGAGAGCACGCCGTCGCGGAAGCTCAGGTAGAGGCCGATGCGGGACGGCCGCTTCTCGGGGGTGCGCAGCGCGCGCGGCTCCTTGGCCTCGACGTGCGCCTCCAGGGTCTTGGCGTCGCGCAGCCCGAGCAGCCAGAGCCCCTGCGAGGGCACCGGGTGCAGCCGGCCGCGGCGGGGCGCCTCCGCCGTGATCACGCCGAGTGCCCAGCGTGGCTTGTCGCCCACCTCCACCTCCCAGTAGTGCTCGCCGTCGGAGAGCAGCTGATGCGCCACCACCGCCACCGCCTTGTCAAACTGGCGCGGGTCCTCTCCGGCTGGCGGCGCCTTCTGCTCCGAGCACTCCACGCGGCGGCCGGAGGAAGACAGGACCAGGCTGGGATGCGCTGAGCTCGGGTCAAAGGTCAGCTCCTCCAGCGCTGCCAGAGAGACAAGGGTGAGGCTCCTGTGTCTCTGCCTCCCTCGAGCCTTCTTCCAACCAACTTAAGGGCCAGCTTTGCCTCCTCTATTCCTGCCAGCACCTCTGGGAGGTGAGCCCCTCCGCTCACGGGTGAGCTTCCGTTTGCTCAGCTGCAGCATGAGGCCATGACTGCCTGCCTCCAGAGCTGCCGGCAGGACTACATTGATACAAAGCCTGTGACTCACCATCTGAGGCCCAGAAAAGGCCCAAGGCCCAAGGTCAGAAAGCCTGGTCCTCAGGCAGTCTTGACCCAGTCTCCGGGCCTCAGTTTCCTCTTGAATAAAATGGGGGTCTCTCCATCCCCACCTCCCCCAGGCCATAAGGGCAGCACTAGCCATGTGTGTATGTCCTGGAGCTCTGTAACTACAGCAGCTCGATGCGCTCCAGCTCTTGGGAGAGGAGGCTGAGCCCTTGGGCCTCCCCAGCCACAGGGCACCAGCCTCAGTGTCTGCCCCAGGCCAGTTCCTGGGGTTTGAAGGGCTCTGTAGATCCTCAGCCCCCAGTGAGCAAGAATTATCATCTCCACTGTCTAGAGAGGGGCAGGGCCTGGCCCAGGATCACACAGGAAGGCAGCGGCTCAAACCCAGACCCCCGCCTCCCACGCTGCCAGCAGCAGCAGCAGCCTCCGAGTCGGTCACACACTGTAAATCCCGTGCCCTCAAAGGTTCTCCTCCCAACACAGGTTAGCGAGCTGCAGGGGGCGGGTTGGAACCCCAGAGGTAAAGGGGCAATGGGATGACTTTCCCAGTTGGGATCGGGAGGCCTCTCTACGTGTGGCTGGGGCCTGCCACACACAAGCCCAGAGTCAGCCCTCCTAGTACCTGGCATCAGAGCCCGGAACATCTTCCTCCACACCTGGAATTTGAAGTCATCTGAGATGATAGGCAGCTGGATGTCCAGACGGGCGGGCGGTGGTGACTCCGCCAGGATCTTCTGTAGCCTGGGGAGCAGGAGGGGAGTCTGTGAGGAGAGGGCAAGAGGAAGTACCCCGAGGACAGGAGGACAGGGGCTGGAGGGATGGATGCCAGGATCTCCGCACATCACACCCCTACTTAAAACTTCCTTTGGAGTTTCAGTTTGGGAAGATGAAAAGTTCTGGAGATGGATGGTGGTGGCGGTCACATGTGAATGTACTTAATGCCATTGTAAAATGTACAATTAAAAATGCTTACAATGGTCAACTTTGTGTTCTCTATGTTTTACCACAGGGTTTTTAAAAATATCCTTCTGTCGGGATAAGGTCCAAGCTCTTCGGCCCCCCCAGCCTACCCCACCTCCCACACCAGCTTCACCTTCTCTTCCCCTTCAGCCTCGGCCGTTCGTCCTGCCCGCAGTGCTCTTCTCCCAACTCTACCTAGCCAGCTCCTCATCATTCCTCCAGGGTCCAGCTCAGATGTCCACTCCCCTGGGAACCCTTCCCTGGCCAGCCCTTTCCCTCCACAGCTGCACCGAGCACACAGTGATGCCCGTGTCCCTTGCCCACGTCTGTCTCACTATGCCAGGCTAGGAGGTCCCGGGGGACAAAGACCAGTGTACAACACTGTGCCCAAGCAGGGAAATGGCAGTGGACTGAACTGGGGTGTGCAGGCACATCGTGAGCAGGGGGAGAGCCAGCTGGTGTCCCTGGAAGACCAGGGCAAGTTGGGCAAAGGGGCAGGGCCAGGTCGATCTCACCTGCTGGTCACCAGACAGTATTTCTAGAGAAAGAAAAAAAGAGAATGGAGGTGAGGCAGGGAGGGGGACGCGGGGGATTTCTGAGGGTAGAGTAGACAACCAGAAATGCTGAGTGTGGGCTCAGGAAGAATCAGAAAAGACAAAAACCCAGAACTCAAGCCCACCTCTAGCCTTTTACCTGTATGTGAATTAGAAAAAGGTGCCCTCTCCCCAAGAAACTCCAACTCTATCTGCTCAAAGATTGTCCTAATAAATATACATACCTACAATGTCTATGATATAAATGGTGCCCACCTAATGCAGTGTCCTTGTGCAGTGCCCAACCTAAACAACTACATAGCAGTCCTGAGGCCCACCTCTCCTGGATGTGTGACCCCAGGTTCCCTGACTGACAATGGGATGAGGTCTCTGGGGCTTGAGCTATGGCCGAGGGGTGGGAGGGTAGGTCATTCAGTGCTCACCATGAGGAACTCAGTCTGTGGCTTGTCGGCCACCTCCTCCAGCACCTTTTCCATCTGCCGCAGCTGCTCCAGGTAAGAATTCAGGCTCCCCAGCTCCCGCCGCAAGGCGACCCCTGCCTCGTTCCGCACACGTTCTGCCTCGCGGTCCAAAGAGCCCTCCAATGAAGCCAGGAACACCCGCATCTTGCCCAGCTGCTCCCCCACAGCTCCCCGGAACTGACGCACTGTCTCCTGCAGGGAGCACGGGGAAGGGGACAAACAGACAAAAGCATTTGGCTGGGGACCCCGTACCTGCCCACCCCCCCAGTCCCCAGGCTCCACCATGCTGAGCTCCTCACCTCCACCTCCACAAGCTGATGCTCCAGCACAGCCACGCTCTTCTCCTTGCGCATGCACGCCTCCTGCAGCTGCATCTTCTGCTGCGGCAGCTGCGTCTGGGGGGCAGAGCATGGAGAAGTCATGGGGATGCCGCCCCCCTGCCGAACCCACACCTCCCACACTGAACCTGCGCTCTGTAGCTCGGCCTCAGTGTCGGGTCCTCCTCCAGCCATCTTCCCATCCCCAAACCCAGCTGCGTGCCTCTAGGCCCTGGCCAGTACTGCTCCTGAGCCTGGCGCCTTCCCCTGCCATTGTCCACTTTGTTAACTCCTCCTGTCCTGGCCTTCCCTGATCCCATCCCCTCAGCAGTCAGGCCCTCAGCACAGGTCTTTGTGAGAATGACAAACACAAGTGTGGTTTGGTCTCCCCTACCAGACAGGCCGGTACAGAGCTTGGTACACAGAAGTTTTCAGGGGGTGAGCGGGGAATGTGTGAAAGAAGAAATGCAACCTCCTCCTACTCCTGGGCTTCACCCCTTACTTAAAAGCAGAACACCAGCCTGAGTCGGCCTGTCCCCCAGTCAGCCTCCGCCCACCCATGGCCTCTGGGGGCAGGCAATTTAATAAAAGTGTCCCTTGCATCCACCAACCAATCACATCTGTGGCTGGATCCCACCAAGTCCTGTCAGTTTGTGATTCCTGAAATGCAAGTATAGGGGAGTTCCTAATAGCTCCTGCCAAAGCCACTTCTTTGCTGGAAAATGCATGGCCCTGGAATCAGACAGCTCCATTCCTGTCGTTCTGGCTTCCAACCTCAGTTTCCTCCTCTACAGAATGGCAACAGTAATCTCAGCCTCAGCAAATTGGCACCTCCCCCCAACACACACTCCTCCAGGGAAAGGAGGGGAAGCCCTGGCGGTGTTTGCAGAGGAGTCCCAGCCTAGCAGGAGCCTCAGGGTTGGACCATGGGCTTCCCTGGCGGGCTGCCAGATCAGTCTCCTCCCCAGGTCGTCCTCCCGGGCGGGCGGCAGCCCCGGGGCGGGACTGGTGGCTCACAGCGGAGCCCTTGGAGGTTTAGAGGTGCCGGGCTGAGCCATGAGAAAGAAGCGCGACGCCATCCGGGAGGCACTGGAGAACCTGACAGCGGATGAGCTCAAGTTCAAGCTGAAGCTGGGGTCGGTGCAGCTGCGCCAGGGCTTTCGGAACGTCCCGCGCGGGGCGCTCGGGCCGCTCGACGCCGTGGACCTCACCGACAAGCTGGTCGCCTTCTACTGCGAGGACTACTACGCCGCCGAGCTCACGGCGGTCGTGCTGCTCGACGTGGGCATGCAAGAGAAAGCGGCACGGCTTCAAGGGGCCGCGTGAGTCCCCAGCGCCAGCGGGTCCCATTCGACCACTCCAAGTCTGGTACTGGAGCGCCAGACCCAACTCATCTCTCTCGCCAAGGACCCAGGTCCCTCCCAGAGCCTTCCTGTCCCCCTTGTCCTTCAGGCTCTTTCCTGGGGTCTCCCCTTCAGAACTCTGGCCAGCCCCTACCTGTGGCTTAGAGCTGGGCTGACGCGGACCCTCGCGGGCTGTATCTCGCCCCACCTGCCCCCCTTCAAGTCTCCTGGGACGCCTGCCTCCCTGTTCCATTGCACGGGTTCTGTTCTCTCTTCTCAGGTAAGACAGGTGAGGTTGGGAGTTCTGAAGTCATCAGCGGAGGTGAGCCTGGGCAGGGAGGGCTCCCGGGCGGAGGCGGTTCCTGCCCTGGGCGAGGAGACCACCAGCCAGGAGTGGGCCAGACAGAGCAAGGCAGGAGCAGTAGGGACTGTGAGCCTGGGTCCCTGGGGAAGTCTGAGAGCCTCCAATCCCTGCTAGAGGACCGTGGTCTCCACCTCTAGGAGACTGGGGGCCAAGGAGAAAAGCAGCGCAACTGTAATGAACCCCGCGCTGCACGCACCTGTGGCAGAGGACAAGGGCTGCGTCCCACCGCGGGAACCGAGGACCCTCCGCACCGCCAGACCCCGCCTCCTCGCGCCCCTACTCCTGTCGTTTATTTTTCCACAGCCCAATAAATACTTCATGACTGACCTTCCTGGGGCTGTGTGGACACATATCCGCCTGTAGCCACATGCGTGTGATTTGCCACACGTATGACATGTACTAGCCAGTGTGTGCCAGAGTCTCAGACCATTCGTCTATGTCTGAGTGTGAGCGTCTTTGCTGGGCGCTCATGGCCATTGCAAACCTCGGGGCGCGCACAACTGTGTGTGGGCTCTCCAGGCCTTCAGGACCTCCAGCTCTAACCAGAAAAACAGCCTGGACTGGGGTCTCGGTGCCACCCTGGGCCTGAACACAGAGGAGCAGGCCCCCGCGTGCCTAGCCCTTCCCGCCTCCCTTTCCATCAAGCCCCACTTGGCGAACGTCAGGCCCGCGCCAGTTCGGCAGCTTTGGCGGCGCGCGGGCCTCAGCTGAGCAGCTGTGCACAGGCCGACAGCTCCGCCCCGGCCGGTGGCCACCCCGGGGCTCCGCGCCCCTAATCTAACGCGGGCCTATGCAGCGCAGACGTGCCCGCTCGACGGGACCGCCCAGTCCCGGTGGGCGGCGGGGGCCGAGTCAATTCTGTTTCCGCCAGGCTCCGCCCCCAGATCGTCAGACTCAGCCCTGTGGCTCCGCCCCCCACATCTCCGTGCCGCCAGGGGCTGAGGACCCGAAGTCTAGGTTTGCGTAGCACCGCCCCCTCCAGGACCCGACCACGCGTGGCTCTTCCAGGCTTGCCTCTTGGCCAGGCTCCGCCTTCAGCTCCTCAGAACCCTCCTCCCTGACTGCCTCGTCCCGCACTCTTTCCCCGCAACTCCAAGTGCCCGTGGGGCTCTGGAGCTCGGAATCCAAGTTAGTGCAACTACCTCCTGATTGGCCGGGCCCCGCCCCGTCCAACAATCCCATCGGACCCCGACCCTCGCCGGGTGCCGCACCTTGAGGCGCGCGTGGGCCTCGGCGGCGGGCAGCAGGCGGTGGCCACGGTGGGAACCGAGCGAGGCGCACACGCCGCACACAAGCGCGCGGTCCTGCTCGCAGTAGATGCTCAGCGGGTCTAGGTGCTCTTCGCAGTGGCCCTGCGGCACCTGCGCCAGCCCCTCCACCAGGCGCGCCAGCTGCAGGTTGGTGCTGAGTGCCTGAGGCCGCGTGGGTGCCTGGCAGCAGGGGCAGGGTACAGTGCCATCCGCTGCTGGCTCCCCTGCCACGCGGCCAAGGCAGGCACGGCAGAAACTGTGGCCACATTCGGCCGTCACAGGCGCGTCGAACAGCTGCAGGCACAGCGGGCAGGACAGCTCCTGGTGCAGGAGGCCGGGCGCAGCCGACATAGCAGGCCTGGGTGGAAGAGGAGTCGATCAGGGAGGCCGAGCGGGCCACCCCAACCCCAGCCTATAAAGACCTCACATCCCATAGTAGAAGGGACTCTGATTCTGGCCAAGCGGAAGGGAAACTCAGTCTCAGGCCCAAGGGCAGCCTCAACTACAGTTCTTAGCCCCACCCCCCAAAATATGCCCTATCAGGGCCCTTGTCAACTCCAGTCCCTAAACACAAGCCTAGGTTCCAAACAATCTTACTTGCTGTCCTTGCCCCTGTGTTAACCCCAGGCCTCAGCCTCTAACCCAGGCCTTGGCCTCAGCTCCAGCCCCAAATTCTCCAGAGCCCCCACCCCCAGCCCTCCTCCCACCCACCTCTCCAGACTCCCCAGCCCACTGTCCCCCATATCTCCAGCCCATAGAACTCACAAGTCTGGTTGGAGATCTTAGGCCAAAAGAGACTCCCAGGAGGACCAGATGGGTCAGGCCTAACCGTAGAGCGGTCAGAGCTGTGCACAAAGACAAGCAACAAGCAAGCGGCAAGCTCAGAGGAATGACAGGGGACTCAGGAGCAGCTGGCAGCGGACACCACACGTGATGGGCACACAGCGAGTGAACAGACCTCCCAGAATGAGCTATGGCCCCAGGACTATATTTAGCTGTCCTGCCCCTCCCCTCCCATCACTTCTGGAAACTGTTCTAAAAGTGAGGGCTGAGTAGTCAACGGGCAGGCATCACATGTCAGGGCCACCTGTCCTGGCCCATCCACTGTCCTCTCCGCTACTCAGCCTGGAGCAAGAGCTCAGAACCAGCAGGGAGACAGGGCCTCTCACAGCATAGAAAAGACAGAAAATTGGGGAGGAGAATGGTCTCCCCTTTCTCCCCCATGCCAGCCTCCACACTCTCAGGCTTCCTTCCTCCTTGCCTGTGGCCGCTCCCCAGCTTGTCACCCACTCAGTCCCCAAGCTTAAGGCTCATCAAAGTCACACTGACAGTATTATCCCAACCTACAGGAGGGCAGAATCTCACCCCACCCTGAAAAGTTTTCTTCTTCCAGATCCGAGAGGAGGGTATTTTCCATGTCAGTCTCTCCAGTGTCCAGCACAAGCCCTGGGGTAAAGTAGGCCTCCCTAAATGCTTAGAGAGTGAATGATAGAGAGAGAGTTGAATAAATGAATGAACCGAATCCAGAGCGTGCAGCTAAGGACTCAGTTCTGCTCTGGGAGCCTCAGGTCTTCCTGTATGCTTATTTTTCATATCTCAGTTGAAATTTCATTTAGAACAAAAGCCAAAGTCCTCACTGTGGCCCACAAGGCACTACCCGATTTGAGCTCATTCATCACGCTGACCTGCTTCTCTCCCCATCCCCTTGCTGTCTGCAGCTTCAGGGACTTTGCATTTGCCATCCCCTGTACCTGGAACACTCTTTCAAACCCTGCTATCGCCTGGCTCTCTCCCCTCCCTTCCTCAGATCATTACTCAATATCACCTTTTCACTGAGGCCTCTCCTAACGCTCTATTTTAAGTCTCCTATCTCCCCAACATCTTCCCTCCTGGCTTTATTTTTCTCCATAACATTTATCACCATCTGACATGCAATACATTTCACTTGCTTGTTGGTTTATTGTCTGTCTCCTCCCACCAGAATATAAATTTTGCTCACTGCTCATCTCCAGTTTTGAATAAAGTGCATGGCACATAGTAGATGCTCAGTAAATACTCAATGAATGAATAAACGCACAGACTCAGTGCCTCTCATCTGGCCTCTTCCCTAGGCCCTTATCTGTTTTGTCCATTCCCCTCTCAACCATTCTCTCTCTCTCTCTGAGTTTTTATTTCTGTTTCAGTCTCTTAATCTCTCCTTTGGAGACTCTCTCTGCCTCTCTCTTAGGTTTTTAATATCCATTTTTATTAATTTTATCCCAAATGTGCACACGA